AAAATTCCCTGTTTTTAGAATGACCAGATCATAATAATAGTTTGATTTTTCAAAAGATCAGCTACAAAACTGCAGGAAAAAATTATGTAATGATTTCCATCAAATTTTAAATGAATTACTTTTATTTAAACTATAAAGAGAAATATTATTGCGTGAATTGTTTATTTAAAACATTTTGGGTTAGGGTACGGCCTCCAAACCAAATTCAAATCACGCTTTGTCCATTAAATTTTGATTTTTTTTTTAACTTTGTTAACTGTCTAGTCAAAAAAATAATTTTTAAAAATTAATTGTTTTGACTCAAATTTATAAACATCACATTTTTATGAGAATCATGAATTTTTAAAGGTAGCAACTTAAAAATTGGAATTGTAGCTACTTATCATTAATAAATAATAACGCAATACAGGGTTTTTGCATTTTCACATATTAAGGGGGGAAAATGGGGAGTAAACGTTTGTATCGGAGTATGGATGCCAAGTTTACGTTTGCAACTAATTTCTTGTTTTTCCTTTAAGAGCAAACCGAACAGATCGAAAATTTACAATTCATTCTGAGCCTTTATTTTTAGTCTAATTTTTGGAAAAATTTTAGGAAATACCAATAATAACAAAACTTAACGTGGAGAAACCTTAAATTTTTGTGAACCTTAGTATAAGTATTTATTTGAATAATATTAAAAGGAATATCAAAAAAACATTTACGCGCCATCTGTATTAAATCTATAACAATTTGCTGCTTTTTGTTTTAATAAATATCTAGTAGTTTTTAAATGGAATGCTTTCCCACCTTTTTTCTTAAACGGCTCTGTAGAGTGCTACCTTATCGTTGCACAAATTTAAAGCTATCAATAATGTCAAGACACATAATATCATGAAATATTTCCCAGTAGCACGCATATAAATACAATTTTAGAGGAAATCCTTAAAACATTTTTGCTTTCGCAAAGGTCCAGTTCGCTCTTAAGTTTTAAAGCAACCATACTAAAATACTGGCAAAAAACTTATCTACCTACACAAAGACAGCGAATATTATTACCATGAAAATTTAAATTGAAATTCTTAAACCAGTTCTTTCGAATTTTAACAACTGACGTAAAATGAAAAAAGTTATTTGAATAACCAACTTGATGAATATTGGCATAATACATAAACATTTAGGAGCTGAACAAGAAAACTTAATTGTTAATTGTACCCAGGTCAGATATTTTTTGTTAAGAATATTAAAAAATAATTGAAAATCGATACAATATGAAGTTATATTTCGTTTAGGCTAGAAGAAAAGAATGATAAACAAAGTCCAGACAAATCTAACATCTAATAATAAATTCAATTTTTAACACTTACTAATTATGAGAAAAATAAAACTTAAAATCTATCCCATTAGTGCGTAATTGTTTGATAGCTATTTTATTACTGGAAATACAAAGAAAAAAATTGATATAAAAATTGTATGACCATATTTAACAATTATTATTAAATGTACAGGGTGGTCTATAAACGAAGGGCTGATGCATTTTAAAGCAAAACACCCTGCAGGTAGTTATACTTATTTGATTGTTTTGGAATATTGAAAATTATTACAACTAATTTAGTGACTGTGGGTGTAACGCTGAATTTCCGGTTTTCTTTATACTTAGTCACCGATTCCTCGGAACAGTTGATTTTCAAAATGTATGCCTTAGTCACTGTGGATATCCAAGGACCCTCAAAATCGACTGATAACCCCTCTTTTATCACCACGACTGCAACAGTTGCTGCCTCTTGATTTGGAATGGCGTAGACTTTCACATATTTCGTGAAATAATCTATAACCAACATCATGTATTTATTACCATTCTTGGTCATGGGGAATATCTATGACAATCCTCTCAAATAGGCTACCGACTTTGTATTGCTTCATTGGGTCCATTACTCATAGCACTGATGGACTGTCGTGTAAGTGACGAAGTACTTCGGAATGATGAACTATCTATGAACTATAATGATGGTTGGTGAGGTTTTCCGGGTTTTCCTCACCTGTAAGTCAAATGGCACCATCAACAATCTTTAAGTCGCCCCGGAGCGCCACGGCAAATAATAATAATAGCCGTCCCTTCCCCTACACAAGTCGTTCAGTCGACTTCAGGAGTTGAAATTCACTCGTGAGGGGGTGAATTAGGGAGAGTATTATTATTATATTATTATTATCTTCTGTTTTTAGAACCATCATCATTCTCTAGTAGCCGCTTTATTAAATCTTCTTCCAGAATAAAAGTTCTACTGAGCCAAATATGACAACTGCTGGAGGAGGGATTTGAGACTTCTTGCTAAGTAGGTCGACGATTTTCCTCTTTCCATTGGCGCATCTTTCTCTTGTTCTTCCTTAAGTTTGACAGGGCCCCACTCATCGTTAACTACAGTTGTTCTTAGCTTAGTAGTCCACTTTCTTTATATTCTGATATGTTGCAGTGAGAGCACTCTGCTGGGCACGCTCTTCTAGTAAGTTAATCGACATTTCTGTGGTTTATTCTGGCTCTATGTTCGATCTTAAAGTCGTACTCTTGAAGTTGTTCAATCCATCTGGCGATTTGACCCTCTGGGTTTTTGAACTGCATCAGCCACTTAAGGGCTGCATGATCGGTACGGATTAAGAATGTTCTTCCATAGAAATATTGGTAGAAGTGTTCCACACTCTACACAACTGCCAGGAGTTCCCGTCTCGTGCCGGTAAATTTTCTTAGAGGTTTCAAGAGCACTTTACTAAAATTAGCCAGTACTCTTCTATCCCCCCTGAATCTATGAAAGCACTCCTCCAATTCATAATAAATTTTCCTTCTGGTCATGGGTAGCCTAGTATTGACGCTGTTGTTTGCTTCTTCTCAAAGACATTTTGGCAGTCTTCGCCTCAGCAGAACTCCCTTGCTTCTTATGTAAGTCGCGTTACTTCCTTATGAATCTTCAGTAGTACGTAGAAACCTTATTTGATGTTTATCAGTTGGCTGTGGTCACTGTTTGATAGAAGCGACTTTTTCCTTTTCTACAGCCACGCCATCCGTGCCGATTATATGACCCATGTAGTTAACTTTATTTTAAAATAGCTGGAATTTCGTAAGGTTTAGCATTAGTTGAGCAGCTTTAAGTATCTTATAAAAAATGTCTGTTCTTTCGATGTTCATCAAATGTCTTTCCCAATACTATGATGTGTCTAAATACACCAGATATGTTTTCCAGGATAACTCTCTCTCTCAATACATTTTCTATGTCTTTTATATGTCTCGAGGGTATTACATAGTCCAAATGGCATGACATTGAATTGCCACAATCCATATCCGGTGGTAGAAGCTGTATTTTTTTTATCTAGTAGATCCATTTTTACCTACCAATATCCAGACTTCAAGTCCAAGGTAAAAAAAAGTTTACTTCTGTTTAGGCTCTTTTTAGGTTGTTTAAAATCATCTGTTTCTTCCACAGGTATAATATGAAGAACATCCAAGGCGTCTCCTCGAAGGGGGATGATCAAATTTACTGCCTTTTTTCTTTCAGACAATTCGTTTGCTCTTTCAACTGTTTCGAACTGTTTAAGGTAGTGTATAACATCTTCCCGTCGAAAGTTGGGGCTTTAACACAAGCATACTTTACAACTGCTTCCACTGTCAACTTTAATTCCATCTCATGGCATTTATTTCACCGTGTTCTATATGTTTCAGTTCCTCTATCTTTTCCATTTTTTTTTATTTTCTCCTCAACGGAAGACATTATTTGCTCATTAACGGAAGAAATCCTATTTTCCACAACAGCAGAAATTTAGTTTTTAAGAAAGACATTTATTCTAAGGAAGAAATAATATTTTTTATAGGAGAAACATCGGCAGTAATTTTATTTTTTATAGTCATATCAGAAGACACCTTTTATTCTAAGGAAGACAAACCGTATGAAATTTTTGTTTCCATGGAAGAAACTTTATTATGTAATGAAGAAATGTTAGAATAAATATCGGTTTTCATAGAATAAAAGACATTTTATTTTTCAAAGAAGAAATTAAAGAAGACGCATCATCAGAAAATAGATACGTTTCCGAATCCAAACTTTTACTTCCTAGTGCTTCTTTAAGCTATACTTTCTTCCCTGTCGTCCCCAGATCACGATCTCGACGTAACTCGGTCACTTTTAAATTACACAGTTGTTTAGCCTTTTTTATCCACTATTTATTTACAAAATTCCGACTTCTAATACCAATGTAACGTTTGCTTATTTTAAATTGGTTTATTTATTTAAAACAGTTTGTTTATAATTTATTTACACCAAGTACTAATTAATTTATACTTTAGCACTATATCACAGTAATAATTTATTTAACAATTATTAATCTTTACTTGACAACATTTATATTAAAACTTAGCTTAAACGGCAAAATATTTCACTTATATACAGACATGTAACAGTCTATAAAAAGCAATCCTGGCTAGAAGAATCTCGAAATCCTTCCTCCACGTGTTGGACTGCGTACAGAGAAACATTCTAGTCGAATCTCGATAGCCAGCGTCAGACTAGCCGCCAGCGATGTTGGTCAATAAATAACAGGGTCGGTTGCAAACAGTCGCACGACAATAACAATACTTTTTAGTGGATCAGTCGTTAAGACCTATTCTTGAAAATCAAGTGAATCCTATAACAACATTCATGCTCCGTGAACATTATAATAACCTATCAAACTATTGACGAATTTTTTTTTGTTTTTATATGGGATTTGTGCGAAGTTGAAACACCTTTAATATTGTCATTTATAGTGGACATGCCTACCGGTTGCTCTGTGGTAATACAATCCTTAGAATGACACAATATACTTTAATGAAATTTCTATGAAAACTAAATGACTACATTTTGCTAAAGTATTTTGTAAAGGATAAAGTTTCCTAAGGACTATTTAAAAAGTAGTTAATTGAACAGGGCAAATTCGAGATTACTGACTGTAATTTATAAGCCATAAAAAATGTAATTAGCATTTAATCTGTTTTTTAGGTTGCCCAACAAATAGCGACAATACAGAAAGCCCAAATAGCTAAATTGGAAACTTTCTTCTTTGAAGGGGTAGAAATAGCCCTAAAGTTATCTTGCGCCGTCTTCATAACAATGAACCCCGGCTATGCCGGCCGAACTGAACTACCCGATAACCTCAAAGCCTTATTCAGACCTGTATCCATGATGGTACCGGATTATACCCTAATCGCAGAAATTTCGTTGTTCTCCTTCGGTTTCGGTAATGCCAAACAATTGGCAAATAAAATAACAAGCACGTTCAAACTTAGTTCTGAACAACTAAGTAGCCAAGATCACTACGATTTTGGAATGAGAGCTGTCAAGACTGTCATTGCTGTGGCGGGAAATTTAAAGCGTGAGAAACCGAAAATGGACGAAAGGCAAATCTTGTTGCGTGCCCTGTTGGATGTCAATTTACCAAAATTCTTGAAGGACGATTTAAAACTTTTTAACGGTAACTTTTTTTTATATATTATTATATACAGGATGTCTGTCAAAGGTCTTTACAAAAACATACCACATATTCCTTAAACCAAAATAAAACGATTTAAGTAAATTTATCTCGCAGTACAAAAATGCTCAGTTTGGGCACTAGACAGCCATGAAGTTACAATTTTTAAATAGTTTTTCCATTTTAAGTTTAAAACGGTGATTCTCCTTAAATTTAGTACGTTGACAGAGTGTTATATGACAAAAGAAACATCAAAATTATGAATAATATTAAACCATAGGAGTAGAACTTGATTTTATCAATAATTCCGCATTTAGAATTTCTACGCCAATGGAAAAAAGGAGTTTGCGTTTGAAATTTGGATTGCTTAACTTATTTTTTTTGTGTGTGTCATTGGCTTCAACTGCTAAGGTTATTTCGCCTCGTGTTCTGTGTAGGCTGTGTTACTGTTTCCCAGCGCCTTTTTAGGAACAGCACTGTTAATTAGAACCCAACAGTGAATGGTCGTTATTAATTACAAAAAAGTTATTTTTGATTCGATTACTCTCATGATTTTTAAAAAAATTTATGTTTTAATAAATAATTTTTTTTGTGAAACCTACACTCCAAATTATTAAAATATAAATTTCGCCAATATCATGAGAGTAATCATAAAGAGTTACGCAATCCAAAGGTCCCGCAGTTTCCTTAGGACAAATGGTTTATGGTCGAAACTGCAGAATTTGATTAAAAATTAGACGATTAAACATGCTTAGATAAATATTACTCGTTTCCGAAACACAGGTTGAAAATTAAAAAATTATTAATGCTCTAATTTATTTTTTTTTTTATTAAAAAGAAAACTTTTAAATATTTTTTAAATTCCTGAATTGCCATTAGAAGCGCTCACATTTCAAGTATAAGTCTGCAAAATTTTTAGATTGCATACTGGAATTAATACGACGGTTAATGTTAAAAAAAATGTAGTTTTTGTAATTTGTTTAAGGATTATTTTCAAAGTTCGGTCCTACTAAAAAAGTTGTACAAGACGGTACAGATTTTATTTGCTTATACCTCCGAATAACTCACCCTTAGAAAAAAGCGAATTTCAGGAGTATTTTATTCCACTATTAAGTGCAGTAAAGTTACAACAACTAAACAATGTAGTGAACTTTTCGAAAATATCTAAGTTAAAATAATATTCAATTGATATTTAAAATTAAATAAGTACACTAAAATTTTGGACCGTATTAAGTTATTAAAGTTATAAATAATTACGTTGGTTTCTAATTAACAGTGCTGTTTTTAAAGTGGCGCTGGGAAACAGTAACAAAGCTTACACAGAACACGAGGCTAATGGCCTTAGTAGTCGATGCCGATGACACCAAATTAAAAGAAAAAAATCACGTCACAAATATTTATAATATGTGAATTTTTAATTTCTATTGATGTGATAGTTACTCATCTGCGCTTTACAATATTAATACATGGTTCGGCATTGGTAAAAAACCATCTATAGTAAAATTTCTAATCCGAATCTTAATATTATCATTTGGGAACTTAAAAACGTGCTCCACTTGATGTAGCCGTTCAAAATATTTGGTATTATAATAATTAGACATTAATCATATCTTAAATAGTTCGCTTACTACCATGTAAATGTAAGTCTTAAGTTAATGAACATATTCAAAATAATTTAAGATTCCTTGCGTCATGTTAATAAAAATGAAACAAAATTTATCTCCATTTATTTGGTATTCTGTCCCGTACTTCCATGCCTCCATTATAGACCGTCAAATAGTGATAGCTTTAGGTGCCCCATTTTCGCATACAAGCTTAGAAGAGGGTTTAAAAGTACATCGATTTTAAGTAGAATGAAAGTAAATTCGCGAGTGGCTCCTGGGGATAACACATGGAAAATTTGATTTTCCCCAAAAAAAATAAAAGGTTATTTGTTGACCATATTTCCAAGCAAGCCGTTTTCACTATATGATTAATTAATAGAACTAGGCTTCGGAAAATCAAAGGCTTTAATGTTGCAAGTGGCTCATCGAATGTATGAAAACGTACATCGTCACTAGTCCGAAAAATATATTTTCTTAAATGACCTGAATGTATAAGTGTATTTTGGGGTTGGAAAATTTTTCTGATTAGAAGAATCGAATTTTCCATGCCACTCGTAAATTTTCTTTTGTTCTACTCAACATCAATGTACTTTTCAACCCTCTTCGAGGCTTGTGTACGAAAATGGGGCACCTAAACCTATCACTATTTGACGGTCTAAAATGGAGGCATGGAAGTATGGGACAGAATACCAAATAAATGGAGATAAATTTTGTTTAATTTTTATTAACATAACGCAAGGAATCTTAAATTATTTTGAAATGGGGCACCTAAATCGGTCACTATCTGACGGTTTATTAGCTCTGCTGTCAACAAGTTCTGGTAAAGCATATTGCATATAAAAATTTTGAATTTTATTTTGCATATTTTCTTCCCTAAAGCTTCATTATGAAGAATGTTCTCCATTTTTATTCCTAGAGGAGTCCAAGAGCACAAATTGCAATTGCAGGTAGCCCTGAATTTGAAAATACCAAATGTGGTTCTCCTTAATGATATTGCCCTTTTTCCAAAAAGTTATTTCTCTACTGCCTGTTCCTTCTTCTACAGTCAGCACTCTATCTTCATATGGACATTTGAACTCTATCATAGAGTTTGGTTTTTTTTTTTAAATTCCATCCGGACTAGCAGCAACATAATTAAATTCGAAATAAAATGTTAAAAAAAATGTGATATAATTAAGCGTCTTATATTTATTTTTCTGATGCGTTAGTTAACATACTGTATATAAAATTCATTAAATTTGACCGAAAGCCATTTGTCACGATGAAATTGTGGAGCCCTTTCATACTAAAATTATTTTATTTTCATTGGCGTAGAAATTATAAATGTGCAATAATTATTAAAAAACTCAACTTTGTACTGAAGTTAAATCGGCTAATTTTAGAATTTTACAAATTTAAATTGTACATTTTTTAGGCATTGTGTCAGATTTGTTTCCTAAAATGAAAGAAGAAGCAGTAGATTATGGAAAATTAGAGAAAGCAATTAGAGCTTCTTGTCCTAAATTTGGACTGGAGGATGTTAATGGTAAGCTTATTCCTGTTTTATTTAATTTCTCAAAAATACCCTATAATTTTTTAAATAGAAATCCCGAATACATGCCTGTACAGAAAAAATCAGCAATTGTTAGTGAACTTTTATTCATTGCTAAAAAAAGATGTGTGGAAAATGTTTACATGTGATAGATAAAAAGATTTCTGAAATTAGTCTTATATACGAGTAGATAGTGAACAGTTTTTAGACGACCTACTTTTAGCGAACTATTTACTTACGGTTAGTAATTTTGGTTTCAGTGGATATTAACTATGCAACTTACTACAAGTGAAGTTTTTATTACAGTAGGTTAATTGCTTTATTTATAGCTATTAAAGTATGTTTTTACAATATAAATACCTTTTATCTGACATAGCAAACATATTTTCCCATTAAGTTGACCTTAACAATATATGGTTTTGAGAAAAACAATTTAAATGTTTGTTCCCTGCAATTTATAGTCGTACGTTAATGATCTTAAAATTGTTTATCGGTTTTAAAAACAGTCAATAACCATAAACTTGGAGAAAAATTAAAGGTGCTAACCTCTGAAACTATTATAGCAGAAGAAAAATTAAGTTACAATAAATACTTTTGTTTTTTCCGCCACAATGCTACTTTTATAAAAAGTTCAAAGTAGATCTGTTTGGGTAATTTCAAAAATATGTAACTGCAGGTCAAAAGCTCCGTGTATTAACATTTAAAAAACGACAGGCATGTTTTATTTAATAAAAAGTTAGAACATTCTGAGTGAGAAACAACAAAGAAATATAAGTTCATTTTCATAAAGTTTTAATAAAAAAATTTAAATTAAACAAACAAAAATAGAAAGCGAAAAAAACAACTATACTAGTTGCACAATGTTAATACCATTTTTGATATTTCTAATTGCTATTATTATTATAATAGCTTGATCATTTATCAATTGCTCACGCATGTGTCCTTCAAGAAAATCAACAATTTCACTGAAACTTTGTCATATTTGAAAAAAATGTATGTATTGCCACAACGAAATAGCGTGTATCAAAATTATTAAAACAACTAAACAAATGTACCTTACCTGTGCGGCCTGAAGTTATCGCGGGTTGATTCGCAAAAAATATACATACATGAAATGAGAAAATTAAAAAAAAAACCTTAACTAATTTACTAACCGTGAGCGGCCGTTAAATTCTAAATGTCTCCCGGCCGCACAGGTTAAGTAAATTAGTTAGGTTTTTTTAATGAAATACGCAATTTCGTTTCTGCGGTAATTCGTGTTAGAGCCATTTCGGTCTGATGCTGTTTCCATACTCACTATTTCAAAAGGCGCTCTTTTATTAAGACTCTGTTTCGTTTGGGGCGCTATTTTGACTGACTTTCTTTTGATACGGACTATTTACTTTAGGTGCTCTTTTGATACGCGCTATTTTAAGTAGGCTCTATTTCGTTCAGGGCTATTTTGATTGGGTGTTATTTCGTTCAGTGCTATTTTGATTGGTCGCAGTTTCGTTCAGGTTTATTTTGATCACGCGCTCAAACGCTAGTTTGTTCAGCGCTATTTTGTGACAGAGCTGGAAATTAATATTGCAAATACCAACTCAAAAAATGTGAATACATAAAAAATACAAAACAAATCAAAGAAAATGATTGCCATGGATTACAAATGATTTAGTTCGATGGTCAAAAATAAAAAAAGTCTATAGAAAATATAAATCAATGCAAACAGTATATTAATGAATTTAATTAGAATTGCTAAAACAAATTATTACACAAATTTGATAGAAATTTAAGACACTATCTATCAATTCCCTTAAACATAACGAAGCTCCCGGTACTGATGATATCCGCCATGATATACTAATAATGTCAACCTCTGTCAAGTTAGCACTACCACTCTGGAATTTTAGATTTTTGAATATTGGATAATTTGTCGCTTTTTTGTCTTAAATTTGTTGTGAAAAACAAAATTTGTCATCCCTTTTAATGCTAATTTTAACGGAAATTTAGCACTATTAATCACGAAAATGAGCACAAATTACATTTTTTTATGTGGATAATTTGTCGCTTTTTTGTCGTAAATTTACGACTATGATGTTTGCGGGCAATGCTATAAATAAAACGAATAAGAATGGAAGATTTTAACAACATACTTTCTTTCTTTCTATTTTCTATTATCTACAAATAATTACTATTAAAGATTATTTTTTTCGTATAACTTTTAACCAATTAGAACGTTCAATTTAGTTAAGTTACCTCGTATAATTTCGATAATACCTGATTATACATAGAGTAGCTCCACCAATCAAAAATATTTACAATAATTTCATTTCCGTAGTAACCACATCGACAACAATACACTAACAGGACCGTCAAATTTTGACGTTTATCAATAATTAATAATTGTAATTTTCATTGTACCAATATGTATTTAAATTAATAAATTGTTGATATTTACTTAATTTACTCAAAAAATAATCGTATCAAATACAATACGTACTTCAAAATAAATACGGTTATTGGACAGAATAATCCTCCGTACTTCAAAATAAATACGGTTATACATCTCAAACTTCCTGCATAATTACAAATCGTATCAGTTTGACAGAATAATCCTTCCGCTTCGCGGTCGGATTATTTAAACTGTCAAACTGACATTCTTTATAATTATGCAACAAGTTATCGATGTATAACCTGATTATTTTGAAGTACTTATAGTACCTATTACTACTGATTATATGCAGTTACTGGTTAGTAAAATAATATTTGATTTCCGTAAATTTTTAAATATTGGAAAATTTGTTGCTTTCTCGTCATAAATTTTTGTTAAAAAAAAAATTGTAGCTTGTCACTTTTCTAAAATAATCCGTACATGGTTGGTTGGGGATCATCAATAATTCTAGAATGGTCAATTTAATCAGTTTTTCCAATTTTTGATCATCAATTTAAAGGAGAAAAGGAGGAGGATTTTTTTATTAACCAAATCAATATTTTCTTTTCCTGAGATCTTACAAACGTGAAAATTTATATCTTAAAACTCTTTTAAAAATATAGAAAATGTTACCTACGAAAAATTTGAGTCAGTGATTCCGTTGAAGATAAATTAATATAATTGTAGGTACAGTTGCTGATCTTTTAGCTAAGAGAGGCAATTTATAACCCCTGAAAACTAACTTCTTTTATATGAATTATTTGATAATGGAAAATTTTTTTGTTGCCTGTTTTTAACATTTTTAACTTCAAAATTTGGAAAACCAATCTTTTCTTTATAACAAAGCTTCTTTTGTTGTATCTCGCTATTACGCACCATTTTCCAGGGAAAAGCATTTAAAAATTTCATGATAAGTTGATGTTATCTTATTCGATAGTGTGAACAATAATTAGTAGGCCTGTGGAATCAAAAATTTTATTTTTTTTAACTTTGAAAAACCGTTGACTAAAGAAATTTTAGAAAATATTTACAAAAATGTGCCATCAGACCTTCATTTGTAACACCCTCTATCTCGAAAACGAAACGTTTCCGGACCTATGTTTATATGAACTTTTACTTCTCTTTTAGGATGTAGATTACGCTGTTAAAATATGACCGTCTAATTTCGGGACAACCTGTATATTTTTCACTTAAACAGGACGAATCGGCAAATTGCAAGAATTACGACTAAACTAGTTGAACTGGCAAGCTGGCAAGTTATCTATGTTGCAAGGGTGTTGAAATTGAAATGACAGTTGGTTGGGTTAACCCCCACTCCATTTTTTTTGCGGAAACGGCTTTGTCACTTCTCTGTAGTTGTTATTTTCGGGTTTAAAACAGTAGAAATGTAGAAGCAGTTTAAAACAGGAACATTAAAATTAAGTTAATGATGAAAAAGCAACAAATTATCCATATAAAAAAAATGTCTATTTTGCTCATTTCCTACAAAATTAGCATTAAAAGTGGTTTATTTCAAAAAGGGGGAACGACAAATTTTGTTTTTCCCGGACAAATTTACGACAATAAAACAACAAATTATCTGTATAAAAAAATGTAATTTTTGCTCATTTTCAGGATTGATAATTTCAAAAATGGGAGGAGCAACAAATTTTTGTCTACGAAAAATTTACGACAAAAAACGACAAATTGTCCAATATTCAAAAATAAAAAATTCCAATAGTACTAATTTTACGGACGTAAAATGTCGAACTAATTCGTAATTTTTAAAATATATTGAATAAATCGAACTTTTATTGCTAAAGTGTATTTCAAAATAGATGAAGAAATAACATTGCTCCCAATTTGTCTGATTGAGTTTTATAGACAATTTTAAAAATTTGAAATTAACGTAGTGTTACCTTTTCTTTATTTGAATTTTCATTATCATTTTCAGAGCTCGTTTGTTTTTTTATAAAAAATGCTTGATAACTCAAATTGTAATAAAACAAACTTTTGATTTACGTTTGTTAGATTTGATATTAAACAAAATAAAAGGAATTAAAATTAAACGTTTGGTTGGGAATGCTTGAAAAAATTAGTTTCCATTTCAATAATGCTACGAACGTATTTTTTTTTTCAGAATTTGTCAGAAAAGTAATCCAGTTGTATGAAACGACAGTTGTGAGACATGGATTGATGTTGGTCGGTCCAACAGGTTCCGGAAAAACAAAGGTAAATTGACTGGCATGCACAAACAACATTCAATAATCGTGATTTATCGGAAAATGTATTAAAAAACACAGTTGAAAAACGGAAAATTAATTTAAAGTATTAATGATAAAAACAATTGTTGAGTAAGAGTTGTCGTTCTAAAAATGTACATATATAGATGAAGGTAATGGGAAGAGAACGTGCCAATAACTCTTTATTTTTCGACGTTTCGACGTTTATTTTAAGTCTTATTAAATTAATTAAAACCAGGCACGTTTCCAATTTCACTTTCATCGTCCTGTTCAGTGACTCCTACTATTTTTAATCTAGGCTTCTGTTTTTTTGGAATGTTGGTCAATCACAGTGGAACGAGCTTATTGGTGATGGACTGATGGACATTAACACTTTCGCTGCCCAAGCTTTATTGCCAACTACACGCTCTGGCCCATCGGTATACGAACATTTAGAAATTTGGACGTTCATTAACGTCATGGGCCATATACAATGAAAATCTAAAAATGTATTCTGGGGAATAACTATTATATATATACAGGGTGATTATAAAATGGACAGAAGTTAACACAAAGAGAAAAGAATATAGTGGTGCTTTTTAATAACTTTTTAATTTGCACTACAAGTGAATTTGAAAATCTCACCTTAAGTTATTAGTTTAATATCATCTTTTTTATATTGTTACATGCTTGAAATACTTGGTTTGAGCCTTGGTTATTGAAAATATTCATATACTCTGTAGAAATTTGTCTATGTATGTCTTATATTTTAAGATATCCGTCATACATACAAGACTACAAAAAAAATTAGATAACGTTTAAATTATTATTGTTGTAATGTTTTTCTAAAGTAAGTACCATCATCTTTTAAAAATACATCAACAAAATGTGCTACTACAATCTAAATAAATGTAGTCAGAAACAATTTGCAAATTTATTAAAAAAAAAGATAAAAAAATGGAATTTTTCTTTTTTTTTTTAGTAAAAATATCTAAAGTAGCTTATAGAAATTGCATAAAACAGTTAAATAACCCTAAAATAATACGTTAAATTGAAAAATTTTACCTCCAAGTGCCTTAGTAGAATTACAATTTCACTAAAACATGAGGTGACGGAAATATGAAAGAGTGACGGAGATATGATAATGTGTCGGACATATGAAAAGTAAAGAAAAATACGCAAGAAAATACACAAATTTTTTAAAAATTTCAACATTAGATTCTGAGGTTTTAGATGTCGATGGCAATATTTCTTCAAAATCTTTTAATTTGGCTTTCGCTAAGTTATCTGATTTTACCAAGTAGAAGCAACAATTTCCAAGTAAAAGTAGTAGTATTTTTTATAGCAGGGGCAGAAGTTGCAAAGGCTTTTGGTAGGTAGAGAGGGGGTAAACGTCAAACCACGTAGGACGGCTTCGAGAATTTCGCAGTAATGTTTACCTGCCAGTGTCGTTTCATAGATTAAGTAATTTTAATATGTTACCGGCGGAATCAGATAATCGCATATATTTATGGGCTATGAATAATTATTATTAAACATGTATTATAATATCCAAATCATAATTCTACAAAATTTAAACAGCTATTTAAAATTTATTAAACTATTTACTCGAAATTGTTATTAACACCAATAAAATAATTTTCTACGCCAATGTATCGCGTCCACTTCGATTAGATCCGCCGCAAACCTGTCAATTTATGTGTATACAGTGGGAGAACTGGCAAAAGCCTTTCCAACTTCTGCCCCTGCTATAATTTTGTATCTCGAGAGATGCAGATTCCATCTTTGGATAATTCATATTGAAAATGGTAACATGAAAGGTTTTCTGTCTAATTGTAAGTAACGACTTATAGTCGGCTAATAAAATGTAACATAAGTTGAACATAATATTTCTGGGCGAAACGTAACTACTCCCTATTTTGCACTCCTCTGATTACATTTATTTGTAGAAAATGACAATAAGGGCCCAGTCTTTTTACCTCTGAGTAAAGTTGAAAGTTACTACTTGCTGGTTAAACTGTAGGGTTATTATTTGTTAATCCGTCAAGTAAACCTACATGTAAATATCCGGAACCTGAAGAAATCGCGAAAACGCCCATCAGACATATTCTTGAATTCATCAAGAAAATCAATCTGATGGGATAAAAACTGTGAGGGGTACAATAAACCTAGAGCTTCAGTACAAGTGGGCTTTGAACCACTCCCTAATTCAGATGATGATGATGATGAAACCTACATGTAACTTTACTCAGAGGTGAAAAGATCGACCTTAAATCGAATAAGTTGTCAGATCACAAGCAAAATCTCGTGACTATAGCACTAATGACTGCAAAAAAAAATAATAATATTTTATGCTATATCTCTCTTAATAAGGACTATCAGAACCATATTTACTTGAACTTTTTTCATCTTTTTTTATATAGAATCATTTTTAAAAATGTATGACTTCCAATCTGAAACATCGTGTGAACTATTTATTTGTTCGATCAATATAAAACTTACGCCGGTCCTGTCCGAGCCAGCTCCGTTATACGCATGAGCTCATGAGCTCCGACACACTATTTTCTCCTTATGGTTTCACTTTTGATGTATGGAATTGGCTTTCTATACTATTTCTATGTGTACACTAGCCTAAGTTGCCGCTCTGTATGAAACATACCACGCAAGCGAAGCGCTCGTTTTCGCCGCGAATTTATTTTGAAACAAATGTACTGCTATTACAAATCGTAACAAAATTACGTAAATTCTAACTCTAAAAATGTTAAAAACAAAACAAAAATATAAGAAAAATTGCACATTTAGAAGTTTAATTTATTAATATATTTACGGTCAGGAAGAATAAAGAATAGATCACTCTACATTATCTTTCTTCTACTTTTCATATACACGAACTCGTAGATTACACTTTTTTTTTTTTTTTTTTTTTTGAGAATTGGCATCTAAACGTAGTTTTTGTTGCCACAGACTTTTGTAAACCGAATAATTTTTTGTTTATTTATTTATATTTTAATATTTTCTTTAATTAAAAATTCAATAAGTAAGTTATATATTTTCTCATTAAATGAACTTAATAAAATAGAAATACTTGATGGAAAAAGGATATTCAGGGAAGAAAGTTTTTTAAAATTACACCTTTGAAGTCAATTTTTTAACTACATCCGAATTGATGCAATGTGTAGCTAAGAAGTTCAAAAGCTTTTCACCAAGAGTACAACGCTTAATGAGTCACTGCCATGCACAAGAAATCTTCTGCGCATTTAACAATAATGAAAATTTCTGTTTGGAAAATTTCTCATTTTGAGACAATATCGCATTCAGGTAGTCCTTAAAATGAATGCACCCGAGAGGAAAAATATCAGAATCAATATCGTTTTCATAAAATTTCTGGAATTTTTTTTGCTCCATCAATAATTCCTTTAGGAGTAAAAGAATCAATGTCCAATAGAAAAATGAATTTTTCCGTAATTACATGAAACTTTAACGCAAAAAGAAATGTTTACGGGTTGCAGAAGATCATTGTTAACCAATATACAGTGTTAACCAATATAGAATTTAAATTTTTTAAGGTTACCTGTACATAAGTACAAAAAATCTGTCTATATATAAATTTGTTTATCTGGATGAAACATGGATTTTTTAAAATGGCACAGTAAATTGTTCTTGGCAAAATAACGATAAGAGGAACGTAAAAACTACAAGAGTCGATGGAAAAAGATTTATTGTTCTTCATGCTGGTAACAAAATTAGTTTTATTGATGGGGCAGAACTGGGGCCCTATTCTCGAATGTCTATTTCTAAATGTCACACGCGACATTGATGAAATGTCGAATAAGAATGCAAAAACGTATTTTAGAATGGCGAATTCGACATTTGTTGTTAGACATAAAGTCGAGTGGTATTCAACCAGTCGACATTGTAATGTCGCATGCCTTTTTAAATATGTTATAATATGAGTGTCGTGATAGTGACAGTTTATATTTATTGTTAAGAGAAAAGAAAATAAGTATGGTACAAATTGTTTTTAAAAATATATGAAATAAATATTTACAATTTCACCTAATTTATCAATTATTAGTCCTGTCCAGTGTCGGATTGGGCCGTCGGTCTACCGGTAAAAGACCGGTAGGCCTTCGTTCAAGGTAAAAAGATAATATCACAGACATTTTATGTAATGTTTAGATTATATTATAATAATATATTTCTTCTTCTTACTATTTAATCTCTTACCAAATTGTACGTCCAATTTTTTATTTAATCCCTTATGAAATTTCATTTAAAAAGATTATATTTTCTCTACTTTCTAATTAGTATTTATCAAAAAGACATATATTTGGGATATATTTGCAGTATTATTCTGTATTACTAAGAGATCCTTCAAGTAATTGTGTGCTGTAATATACTCGTCTTGTATGTTTCTATCCAATGTTGCCAGATGTTAACATTCGCCAAATATGTCACCGATTAAAAAATGTCGATTTTCCTTTGAGAATATGGATAGTGTCGGTCAATCGACATTTTGATAGACATTAGAAGTAGACATTATGACGAATGTGACATTTTCAATAGACATTCGAGAATAGGGCCCCTGGTGTTTTCATTAAATAGTAACAATCCCAACTATCATGGGGAAATGAATAAAGCAAATTTTTTTAAAACGGTTCGAGAGTCAATTACTTATGAATTTAACTGAATGTTATGGACACTGTTTCCTATCACAGCACGTTACTTTTTAAAACGCTCAATAGGTAGTCTTTCGCAGAATTTGAAACAAATTATAACACGCCTCTATCAACGAATCCTTTATCTCCTCCAATATAATTAAACGGCGACCTTTACCATTTGGAAATTTTAAGCCAGTAGACAAACCTTCTATAAATTGCTGACGAGCATTTGTAACCTGCTTATCTTGCCAAACTTTTTTTACAAAATGTTCTTCTTTTATCCATGTTAAACCAAAATAAAAAATATTTTTTTCTTCCCCTCCTAATTTTCTAATTTTCCTCCTTCAAC